AACCGATAAACAAACACACAAAAACAGACACAAACACATACACACACAGACGCACACAAACACACACACACAAACACCAAAACGCACACACAAGCACACACACACACACACCAAAAAACACACACAACTACAAACACAAAAAAACACACACACACACACACACACGCACACAAACACACACACACACACACACCAAAACACACACAAACACACACACCAAAAAACACACACAACTACAAACACAAAACACACACACAAACCACACAACAACAACACACACAAACACACACAAACAGACAAACGCACAAACACACACACACACACACAAAAACACACACACACACACACAAAAACACACACACACACACACAAAAACACACACACACACACACACACACACACAAACACACACACATACACACATACACAAGAAAACACAAGAAACACACACACAAAACGCACACACACAGACACACACAGACACACACACACACACCCACACACACACACCCACACACACACCCACACACACACACAAAAAAACACACGCACACGCTCAAACGAAAAAACACACACACCACACACACATACACACACAGTGGGATTTATGACCACTAGCCATGTTTGAGGGCGATCATCATTTAAAGTTCATGGTGAAATTGATTCTGGGTGAGTTTCAATAATGCACCGACCTGACAAAATGGTCCGTCAAGAAACAAACATGAGTAGCCAAACCGCCCATATTGGGCCTTTGTTTGATTCAGCTGCTCTCAATCTTAGCCTGTGTTTGGTCACTAGCTTCTCTCTCTCTCGCTCTCTCGCTTTCTCTTTGAAGGTTTGCAAAAGTCTGTTCGGGTAGGCCCCCGTGAGTGGTACAACCAACTCTCAAACTGCACCAAGCTGAGCTGTGTGGAGGGGCTCCCGAGTTGATGGATCTGCGGATCGTGGGCCAGGAAAACGTGGTTGACCATCGGAATCCATAGCCACTCATTTTAAGGTTCCCTTGTTTGGAGACACCCCAGTGGGAGCCCAGTTGATAATCAGCCTCTGGTTGATCAATTGGATGTTCGGGTCAACAGTATTCAAAGTTAGTCCATGCGCTCGATGTCCTGGTCCCTCAACCAAGGGATTCAACAAGGACATGTGCGCCCGAGGATTCTCCAGCAAAAAAACAAGCTCACCACCCAGCATACGCTAAGACCTGGTCAGAAGGGTTGGTATTTCGTCCGTAGAAAGAGAACGCAAAAGGATACGGGTTGCCCAGTGTGAGCTTCGGAGCAACCCTGACCAACTCTGTCTAAAGTGTCCTATTGCACGGGGTGATTGAGAGGCTTACAAGCAAATTGTGCATGGGTCATTGATCGTTTCGCACGCCTGGCTGATGCTGAAACCTTCAAAACTGGCTATTTGCTTGTGCAAGTCAAGTGTCGTAAAATAGGCTGCCGGTCTCTGAAAGCCAGCCAGTTGCCAAGAGGCCAAACTTCCTCCATCTCCGGGATCCGGAACTCCGGCTTGGTGGGCTGTTTCGCTTGGCTTGGAGGGTGAAGCACTAGGCTGTTTGTCCTGCGACTCGACGGCTTCGAACCTGGAAACGCTCTAGGCAAGTTCTGTTCTGCTCTTGTAGGCCCGAAACTAAAGGCCCACCCGCCCAGGAAATGTTCTTGCAACCTGAGAACCTTGCTGGGGAGTAGGAAGCCCTGTCGCTCCTGAAAGCGAAAGCTTCCGGGACAAGGGCGTAACTTGTTGTCAAATTTGTTTGGTGCGCTTGGTTCCGAAAATGTCAGATAAGCCTGAACCTCACACCAGTGGCAGAGCAGTACAGCGGCGGACTCTTATGGCGCTCCGGCCACTGGCGGAAGTCACGTGTGCTAATGTTGAACCCTCTCTACACGGCCCCCCCTTGGAACAGTGCAACCAGTCAGCTGGACCCTCCCTAGGCAATAGAGGGTACTATTCCAATTGGGGGTCTAACATTGTGACGAAATCCCGCACCACCTAAGAGATGCCGGAATTGGTATTCCCCTGTAAATTCCAACCAGCAAATGCTTTCCCATGGTTTCAGAGTGGTGCAGGATTTCGTCCATTCACAGTATCACTACCCCGCCGCGCCCTGCGCAAAACCGCGCACCCCGCTGCGTCCGTCCTCCCGGACTCAGCAAAGGACCGCGCCGGGGATGCCGCGGATCGCGGCTCCGGGGTCATGGCCGCCATAAGCATCCGGCCGAATGCCATCGCAGATTCCCCGTTTGTTACTTCCAACAACTCGTTCTCCCCTATTCAGACCTTCAAAATGGGTTGGGGTCGGAGGTCCAATCAGATTTTCATGAGCCCCATTGGGAAACCGCCACAAAAAGGACCTTTTTCGCTAGGATTCAGAATGCCGATGCTTGATACTACGAGCGTCATGTGTCAACCACCCCTGCCAGTTATAACCGTGGTGAAGGAGCTTACTTGCTGAGTAGGCTGAATGTCCAACCAGCCCAGTGCAAATTAGTGGAAGGAAAGTAAACAACTCGGGGTTTGATCTCCTTTTGGGGAAAGTCGCCCTTTTTTTCGTTCCATGTGGCTGTACAAGGAAGTAAATCACTCCTTGTCAAACCCGGCTTGGCCTGAAACAAACTTCAGGCCATTGTGCGTTGTGTTGCTCCCTTCTAGCGGCCTGCTGTTTACCCACTGGTTTCAGATCGCTGACCCATTCTCGAGGTCCGAGACCCTTGCAATGGCAGGATCCATTTTGACTTCCTGTCGAAACATGGCCGCTCTGGCCCTGTACACCTGCTGGGGATGAGCGCGAGTCATACCGCTGCGAGTGCGATAGCCAAGGAGCCAAGTCCCCCCCCAAGAGCAGTGTTAATATTGTGTCAAAAATATATGAGCTATGTTAATTGTGTCAAAAACCTTATACATCACATATACTCAATTGTATCATGTATAATATGTATCATACATTAGATTATATATATTATTCATTTAAGATTCTGCTGTTCCACAGGCTTTTGCTGTGCCCAGCTAGGTGGGCATTGCCACCTGAATTCTAAGCCCCATGCAAAACAGCATGCACACACCCCCTGTTTGATAACCCAAGCAAGATCAGATCAAATTCAAGATCAGTTCTACACAATGATCACATCAAACAGGGGGTGTCAGGTTGAAGAAGTTGGAAAAGGTGGTGCTGGCAGCTACTTCTAACAGAAACAAACCCCATAATAGTTTGTTGTTTTGAATAAAAATGTGGAACTAATAATTGTAATGGAGACCACATAATGGGCGAACACAAGCAAACAGCTTAAAGGCCAACACTATGAAATTGGTTGCTGATAAATTACCAGTTTTTGCACTGGGCTACCTCCTGGGCCTGGGCCTGGGCTCAGCCCGGAGTTTGCTCCAGTGCAAAAATTTCCAACCACCGGGCCCATTATTATGGTCTCCATTAAACCGCCTCATCTCTGACACTTTTGCCAGATTTGATGAGGGCTGCCAGCCTGACCAGTCGCACCTCCCTAGAAAAAGGTATGGAGTGACAAACCTGGTCCCACCGTTTCCCTGTGCCCTTGCCAAAAAAGGCCTGCTTCACCCTGACCTTCGCTACCCTAGAGCCCAGCATAGCCCAGCTCACGACCTCCTCGACCCTTAGTTCAGCAAGCTCTCACGGATAGGACAGACAGCACGCATGCAGCCAAGTAGCCACCTTCACCTTCCAAATGGTGAAGTCCCTTTTGAGGAGCTGCACCCTCCTCCTGCCCTCCACCCTGTAGTGGTCCTCAGATAACAGCTTTGCTTGAAGCCAGTGGCCACCCACCCGCCTTTTGTTCTTTGCAACCCAGGCTCATGAATGGGAGTGAGCTGTTTCCAAACCTGCAGCTCCAGGTGGTACCTCTGGCAGCGCTTCACCTGAGTGCAGAGCAGATTTGACAGGCTTAAGCCTAAACCTTTTTAAACTCTGTTAGCCATGGCACCACCAGAGTCTTCACCTTGACAGGAGCCATGCAGGCCAGCAGGGCAGGAGGAGGGGGTGAAGGAGGGGAGGGGTCGTGAGCTGGAGCCTAGGGAAGCTGCAGCAGGACCAGTGTTTCACAAGCTAGAAGTGTCCCTGGTGTGCAGAAGGGCAGAGTGAATTGTTGTTCTTCTTGCTGTCAACAACAACAACAACACCAACAACAACAAATCAGTCTGCCTTTCTGCACACTTGTGTTGTTGACATTGCGTCACCGAGAAATCAGCACTAGCTGCTGCCCTTCGCTCAATGCAATGATCGAAGTGTTTGTCCCAGAACTCAGTTGCCCAAAGCACCCAGAAAAAAAGGGGTTACGCTTTTTGGACCTTGACCAAAAATTGACCAAAGCAGGAAAAGCGAAAGGTCAAAAGGTCGGATTGGGGCAACTGAGGGAAAATCAAGCTGGCCGATGCACCGGACCCCGAGGGCAATGGCCGCTGTGTCTTCCGCTGTGTCTTCCTAAGTGTCGCTGGACGTCTTGCGTGCTGTTCAGGATCATCATAAGTCGTTGAAACATCCCACGCATTCCAAGCATCACATCCAGCGACCACAAAAGCACCATGGCCGGCCCATGTGTCCTGTTCTCTGAATAATCCATATATCTAAGCAAAATCAATGGGTCCATAAGTTCAAAATGGGATCCAAAACGCTAAATCCGTCCGTATCGGGACACAAGGGACCCAAAGAAACCACAACCTGGCAGGATTCAGCATTGAACCAACCAATATCCCAAATAACTTGGCCCAAATTGACCATGGGTCAAATTCCCGGTCAGCCCCCAGTGCACATCCGATTCAACCCCCACTAAAATAGGTTCTAAAATAGGTGGTGAATTCACCTACCCCAAGATGGTACCATTGGTTTTGACCCACAGCCAATTGCACAGAAAACATTGTGTTCAGTTTCTGTGTCCTATTTAGTATACCTCACAATACATATAGAATGGTTTGGTGGAAAGCATCGAGATCTTTTGACCATGGCACACCCCCTAAAGGCCCAACGCTGCCTCCAGAAGGCCCTTTCGCACGCTGCTGTGCACCAGGCCTAAGATGATCAATGGGTCCTGTCCAACTGTTCAAATGGCATATCATTCAGGATTCCGTTTTGAGTGCACAAGCGTTTCCCCCGGCAAGAGCAGTTTGTTTGAGGTTCCACTTGCACATTCTGTCTTTGGCGTGCTTAGTGTTTTGCGCAGGATTTAGCTAGTGCTGGCCATTGACTCTTCTCTTGCCCCAGCCATCATTGCACAGTCAACAGAGTCTTAGACATTTCACAAAGCTGCCAACACTGGGGTCATCACTTTGACGTAAAATCAACCATCAAGAAATGTGTTAAGTGCTCCTTTGTGTTGGATATGCCATGTTTGGTTGGTGTCTATAAAGGGAATTCAATAGCACACCTGGCCCCCAAAAGTGTGAAACACACCCAACGGCTTCGCATTCCAAAATCAATCCTCTAACGCTGGAAGCAGAGGATGGGTCTCGATGATTGCTGACCAAAGCTTTGGAGAGAAAGTCATTCGATCAGCTTGACAAATCAAACTGGTCTGAAACTCAAATTGGGAAAAGTCCACCGGCGATCTTGAGGTTCCCCCGTAGCCAATGAGCGGTGCCGAACGCTGAGAGAAAATAAATCCCTTCACCTCACAAGCCGCTTTAGTGGAACCCTTCGCGACGCTTTCGCAGTCGACACATGTCACCTTTTCGCGCATGCGATTTTTGCAAATAACCTCTGCGGAGTGTCCGCGAGATGTTCGGCTGGCTGGACTGGGCCATATGGACGAGTTCGGCTGCAGTCGAGTCTTGTCTCCTGTGGTTACAAAGGAGCGAAGCCAAAAGGATGCGGGAATCATTTCATGGGGCAGTTGCCGCTTGCACGAAATTTGGCTGGATTTCGGTGGAGCTCAAAAGCGACTTGATGCTGTCCATGACTGGCACCGCCTATGACAACCCCGAAATGGGAGTGGGCGGCTACATAGAAACTGTAAGCATGCACTTTCCCCACGCTTTCACGGCGGTCTCTTCGACAACCACAACCAGCCACAAGCGGGAACGCGGGCACCCTGCGTTTCCTCAATTGCCCAACTCTTCGTGAGGGTTTTGGCGCTCAAATGATCTTACGGCGTGAATCCTCCGCCAGGCCTGTAGCCCAGAACAAAGCGGAACTTGGAAACAGGGGGAGTACTTCCGGAGCTGCTTAACCTCGCATACTTGTATTTTAACACAGGTGTAAATACTCACACCGTTTCTTGCAGAAAGCAATAAAGTCCGTTATGTGTATTGGTTGTAGATTCGATTGTGCTAATTGTTGGTTCAATACCAAGGGTTAAGCACGCAGTTCGACAAGCCTTGTGAAACACATTGCCCGATGTTTTAGTTGCTTCAATCTGGTCACCCAAACAATTGGCAAGTATCCTCACTCCCAGCGCTCCCTATGTTCCTCTCCTCAAACATCACCCCACCCAAAAGAAACAGAGGCCTTCTGAGTCGCCTTACCCTTATTGGCATTCTGAACCCCATCGCCGCTTGGTTTAGCAAATGGGAAATACTGTGATGTGGTCAGCCCAAACCCGAAACGCGGCCTCCCCCGTGAAGGGCTCTCTGAGAATTGGCCATACCAGAAGGGCCTGAGCCGTTAGCATGGTGAGGCGCGGCGTAGAGAAAGATGTTTGCAGTTCAGCCCCTCGTATTTCCAGTATTGGGGACTTAGCTGCCTGTTGGCTTCAACAATCCCAACACCTTTTTTCAAGCCTCAACCCGCCCACGGCAACGGCATTCGCTCGAGTCGCATCGCCCGCTGAGCTTCGCCAGGTCAAAGACTCGCTTGCGCCAGGCCTGAAGGCGCGCGAATTCTGGTGCGGTCGAAAATGGGAAGCCAAAACGCTTCGAGCCACTCTTTCTTGAGGGGGGTGCTATTCTATCTGTGGATTCGCCAAATTCCAGTCAGGCCTTGTCATTTCCCAAAACTGATTTTCCCCGCTTCAGGTCCTATTCTCACCTCCGGGCATTGGCCAAAAAGGTCCAAGGCTTGTGTCTAGGAACTCAGGGGTGAGTGCCTCCCCCGTGCCTTGTTTTGTACTGTTCCCCAAAAGGACATAGCAAAACTGGTTGCATCCCTGAGTGTTCTCCGTACCGAGTGACCCTGAGCTACTGTTGGTATCCTAGAAGTGATCTTTGCTGCGCCCATGTGCCGTTTTGTATTGAGGTATGTATCCCTGGGGTATGGAATGAAAATGTGGCTTCTCTTGAAGTATTGCCCTTGAAATCAACTGCACAAGGGGACGCACCCATACAAGGGATGCGTATAAACAAAGTTCAACCTGGTTGGACACTTTGATGGACATAGATGAGATCTATGCGCACAAGAACCAATCGTCGTCAGCTGCTCTGCAGGTTCATCAAGATAATTTAGGGGAATCTTTTTCGGAGTCGGCACCCGAGCCCAAACTAAAACACATGTGTTGTGCTTCAATGGAACACATATATGCCCTTTGTTAGGGGGTTCCTGTGTTTGCAAAAAAAACCGTATCTGTCAGGAACCAGCCATGCCAGCCTTTGCAGCAAGCACCCCGCCTCCTTGTTTGACAGCTCCTCCAAGTTGAAGCACAGGTCGGGCTCATCCCGGCTATGCGTAGAGCCCGGATTCCTGTCAAACACACACACACACACACACACACACACAAAAAAAGATACATCATGGCAACATTCTTAAGCTCGAGCTTCTGCCGTGGAGGTCTTGTGGGGGGGTCATTCACTTGGCGGTGCCATGGCGGATTAAACTCTGGACGCAGCTGCCAGATCTGCTTGTCATTGGTTTGGGCCATCCCCATATGACTGCTAAACCTTGGAACATGTCCTGGTGTACGGAGTCTTAATGCTGACAGCAAAGTGATCACGCTGGTGTTTTCGCGGAAAGTTTCCTGCATCCTTCTGCGGGCCATCCAGCGACATGTTTCGTTCAGCCCATGGGTTCCCTAAACGTGGACTAAACACCCCACCTCTCCTCGCACACGCGTTGAATCGCTGGGGATATTGGATGTGTGCAAGACTGTGCTCTGAAGAAGGCGTGCAATCCTCAATGCATGGGCATGTACAACATGTTCTCTGCAGGCGCCATCACTATTGAAAGGGCTGCTGCCTCTGGGAGTCGCCATTTGTTGACTGATGTTCTTGTTGGCTACTCGCAGCACATGTCGGAGATGAGCATATAATGTTCGATCATAATTCCCATTTTTTATCGACTTAAGTTGCTTTCAAAGTACCCTACAATCCCAGGCGCGTATAGTATAGTGAAGTCGGAAGCTTGCTGCAAGTCAGTGAGCATTCAAGACCCGAAGAAAAGTCCTTCAATATCCTTCAACTTTGGGGGTTGAACGCCTTTGGTCTTGGGATGGGAAATTCCGCTTGGGCCACGCCTACCTGGTTGTCCGACAGTGTCCAACCCGAGCAATGTCACAACGTGCTACCCGGCTCCTGGCTCGCGACAAGCCACTTGACACGCACCTGGCTGGGCAATTCCTATTCAATCAGGCAAGTCACAAAAAGACTTGCAAGACTTGTAAGTGCTCGGTAAAGTAGCAACACATCTTTCCTCATCAATCTACAATGAACAAGCGGCGAGCAAGAATCCCTTTTAAGAGAAACCGGGCGGACCTTGAGAGAACTCTAGATGCGAGTTTGTGGATTACTTCGTGGGCTATTTGGAGGTAGCTTTAAGGGGTGCGTTTGTGCCCCAGATCAGTCCACCTGGCGGATGAAGACTGCATTTCCACCCAAAGTGGATGGGGAACTGCCTTAGTCAACTGGGTTCACATTCATGTTGACCCAGATTAATCACCCCGTGGTGAATTTGAAGATGTCCCCAAAGGGTAGACCCCTCTTTGAACAATTTGAAGGGGGACCGAAAGGGAACCTGCAGTCGGCTCGATCGGCGTACCAACTCTCCATCATCATCTCCCCGATCTCAAGGAACTCCGGCCGCGCCTGCGGAGAATCTTTGGGTGGCAGCGAACGTCAGCTGCGAAGATGCGCTAACATGTGTATATATATATATATATGTGTATAGTAGCCCCCCCAAAAAACGAAACAAAGGAAAACAAGAAGAACAAAGAACAACTATCTTTTCCACACAAAAACTGGAAGTTTCCACTAAATTCAATGCCTGTGCTCGATACATAATATATGCTACGTTCTCTCTGGTTGTTGTCTTGTCCTGTTCTTAAAATGCATATATCTATGGAGCCAGCTGTGGGAAAAAACTACAGCAAACTGGCCCAAGACCCAGGTCTTTGGTGGATATTTGGCTAACTTGCTGTAGAATGTCCTGTAGCTGTTTATGAACACTCAATCTGCACCATATTCAAACGGTCTAAACGAGGGTCAAGGGGTTGGCTACTGGCTGCCATGACCCGAGTTCCAAAGAGTTTTCAGGACTGGGGTGAACTGGAGCTTGCGGTTTCTAACTTCCGGACCATCGATTCGCCATCTCAGGGCTTCCCATCTGGCCATGGGTCAAAAACCCCGTAATTACCGTCAGTGAACATCCCAATCCCCACTAAAATAGACTAAAATGGGTGGTGAATTCACCTACCCCAACATGGGATCCCATTGGCTTCGAACCATGGCCATCTTCGGTCTCCGCTTTTGCGCTCTTGGCGAAGGTCACCGTGAGCGGGTCACCGGTCTTCGCCTGGCGCGGAGACCGGGCGACAGCAGGGACTCGCCATGGCCTGCCTGCCGACTCTGTGCAAGTTGCAACGAGCAATAGTTTTCAAGGCTTCGCGGAAAAGTAGCAGCCTTCTCCCTTCCGAAACGGAATCGAACAGCCAAAGAAAATGGCAGGTTTCTCCCTGAAGGAGTCGAACAAATCCACAGGCAGGGTTCCCCGTTTCCCTGCCATAGCCCGGCGCCGAATTGCCATTGGCAGCTTGGGTGTGCCGAAATGGATGGTTTTTGGATTCCAGTAAGGTGTATATCCTGCTTGAAAGAACACCCACGCAAAACCCGCCCGTTTCAGGGTAGCCCCAATTGGAGAGGTATCAAAAGCGGAGCCACTCGCTTTTGAATGCAAAACCAGGGGAGCCCAGCCAGTGCCACCCCCTCCCCCCGGCCAGCATGCTGCAGCGGCTGGAGAGCTGACACCAGCCACTGCTGTAGGCGGTATAAAAGCCTCGCTGGGGACCCGCTTTAAGGGGTAGGTACAAGGGTCAACAAGGGAAGTGAACGACAAAAAGCCAAATCGTGGCCCTTGGCTTTAAGGACGGTGAGATCTCCGGAGCTGTGCCAGGCCTTTCAAGCGTCGTCCATTTGCGGCTGCCTTGGCTGCCTTTGACGGGATCCCCCGAACCCAAAATCTAACCGCAATTTGGTATAATCATATTTAAATGGAACGACCACACAAAATGCTCAGGTGCAAATTGTGATTCAGTCAAAGTCAGAATTGCGAGGACTTGCGATCGAGGCTCTGCCATGTGGTGCTAAGGAGATCCGCAAGTACAAATCAGGAATTTCGTCGATTGTAAAAAATGAGTCTTGCGCGGTCGATGGCTTACAATTCAAAAGCGAGGACGCCTGGATATTGTTCATCTTCCTGAAATTAAATCATCCACCGGCCTGAAATGAGGTCGTGCTCCCCTCCCTCTTATGAGGTCGCTATAATTTCCAGGGATATCAAAGTCTCATTCATTTCCCGGCCTTTGCATAGAACCTGCTCAAAAACATCTTATTTTTTTGCACCTCCACCTGGGTTCACCTCCCCAAACAACCAGCTGTTCCCTGACAAGTCACATCTTGCCAGGACTGCCGCTGCATTCAAATGGTTCGAGCCCGATGCCTTTCCACTCCACTACTATGCCCGCACTCGCGCACGTCGCCCACATTTCAATACACACCAAACGAAGCAACATGACAACAACAGCGTTTGCCGCAAACAAGAATGCATCAAAACCCAGGCGATACGAAAGAACCAAGTACTATCTCACCAAGGCGATATAACGGGGCTTCCTTTACCTCCAGTTTCAGCATCGGGTCACCTGACATGTAGGAAGCTCAAACAACCAGCCCAAAACGTGATGAAGCTACCCCCCCCCGCACCAAAACGAAAAAATGCAAATAGAGAAAGAGGCCATCCATAAGTTTCCTTTGTTTGAGGGTACCCTTTTCTGCCTTTTGTTTCAAGGAAACCTTAAAGAGAAGCCAGCCCCTTTCGGGTTTGCCACCGGTCAGCGCACCAAACTGCCGGCGAAGTCACGGCATCTCGGCCGCTGTTGGCACCGCTGCCGGCACTTGGAGCCGTAGAAGAGTGAGCTCTCCGCGCTGGCGCGCGCTGCGCCTGCCAACTCGGCACACATGGCCATGGGTCAAAATTAAACCACCAGGAATTGGACCGCCTGTTGTCACAGGTTCCATTTACCAGGGTTCCAAATGGCCATGGGTCAAAATCCAAAAATCCCGTACCCCCAGTGAGTCCAACCACTAAAATAGACTAAAATGGGTTGTGAATTCACCTACCCCAAAATGGTACCATTGGTTTTGTCCCACAGCCAAATCACCACTGCAGCGAATTGTTGTCTGAGATCTTTACATTACTGAAGGGTGCACGGCCATCTCTACCAAAGTAGATCGGTCTTTCGCCGGGACGCTGAAAGCTCAAAAAGGCTCTAGCAGCTCCAGCAAATGTAAGCAAAGAAACCATCTTGATTGCGATCTTTTTTGATCGGATCTATCTGTCCCTTGTTGTCGGTTGCGCAAGCAATCGGATTTGTCCGATGGGTGGGTCTTTTTCAGGCTAGAATTTGTCCCAAAGGAACAACAAAGACTTGGAGCGAGCTTGGGCCAGTTCCACACAAGGCGGACCCTAGACCCAAGCCGGAGACCGCGCCCGGGACACCCATGCACGGAGCATGTATGAGCTATTGGGACAACATGTGTACTTTGTTGGTTGGCTCTATCACAGGGTGAGTATGAGGGACTGGTTGGGGGCAGAGTCCAAGCTAGCAATTTCTCCACGATGTTGGCTGCAAAAACGCTGTGCTTGAACCCTACGGCAACTGTGCAGGCTGCGCGACTGCCTAATAAGCTTGGTGTTGAAATAGACAATACAATAATGATTCACTCAGCTCTTGGTATTCCGGCACTTCAACAAGTGCTGCTGGGGCATCAAGCCAACAAGTGCGCTTTGGACAGGACCTTGGCCCAGTGGGAGTGGTGCTGATTGTCTCAATGTCCAAAACGGCCGTGCCACCAACCCAAAGCATGCTGCACTGTGGTTCAAGCTGGGAGGAGTCAAGGGTGGCCTGCAGGGATCCTGGCCAGCTGAGGATCACAGTTGGCGGATGTCTCAAAGTCCTTGTTCTCAGAAACGCATCGCAGGGAAAATGCCTTTCGCGACCTCCATCGTGGCACGACATTCAGTACAAAAGTAGCCGACACAGAGTACACGTCCGCTGAGTACGAAGATAGTACACGAAGTGCACTTCTGCAGCCCCAGCACGAAAGCCGTGCAGAAGCACGGGAGGCGACCCGATGGGGCAACTGGCGGGAAGGTCCATCGATTTTCGCAAAGAATTCTCGATTTTTTTGCCAAACATTGCCGAACATTGCCGAACATCTGGCTGGGAAGTGGTGCTGAAGCTTTAAAACTCCAACAGACTGTATTCTGCTGGGGGTTGATTTTGCAGCTACGCACTTCTGCGGCAATCCTCAGGCGGTGCTTTCCTTTGACCAACGTTAGCCTGTGTGTACTCTGCGCGCGCTACGGAAAATACATGGTTCATTCTCCCATCTTCAGTTGAGCAAACCACCCTTATCACACAATGTTTGCGAAACTAAAAGAACCAACAATAAGACAACCGTTGGCAACCTCCATCGCGAAGCTTTCACGGAGGGCAACACTAAGACCAAAGTACTCCAATTCACAAGGACCTTTCGAATGACTCCCAAATTTGGTTTTGCAAGAATGACAACTATAGGAAAGTGTCTCACTAGTGCAACGGCCCGAGTCTTCGACTGAGCCACACCTGGCATGTCAAACGGCAACGGGTTAGCTGGGGTGGGCAAACAATGCACGCCCAAGTTGCGGGGAGCGGTTGCATCTTTGCAACGCCTCCTTCCAGCGCTGCCTTCCCAACGAGTTGAGCCCCAGCTACCCCAACCCCCCTCTAAGCAATGGGGTTGATGGTCACTGAGTTCCTGCCAGCTCCAAGCCATCTACAGTGGGGTGACACATTCCAACCCTTGGCTTATCCATCCTCTTTGCTTCCCACCCCTTTGCCTAAGGCACCCGCGCAAAAAATGACTATGCTTTCAATTATAATAGATATTAGATATCCTCAAAAACCATCAGGGGAAATTAAACCTACTCTTAAGCAAATGGAAGTTCCCCAAAGGAACTGGTGCAATCTACCAGGACGCTCCAAGGCCTCCAAAGGGCGACATGCCGCCGTAGTTGTCCAGCGCGCCTGCGAGTCAGAATGCGAGCTGCGCCATATTCTTGTTCCCAAAATCGGGTTTGGACCCCTATTGCTTGGCATTTGAAGGGAAACAATAAGGAAACCAACTATCTTAGGGGCCCAAGCCCCGAAAGGCGTGGTATTTTGTTTCTTCTAGGGTGACCTGAAACTCAAAACGACGACCCTCTTTCAGACGATGCACCAGCAGACTCCTTCGATTCGAGTCCACACACACACACATTGATTTAGCAACACATAGCAGCACTCTCCGAAAACACAATTGGTCGAACATATTTTGCAACATATAAAAACACAACCTCGACGGACTCATGACCTCCTTGTATCTCAACACACATCCCGTTGGCATGCTGGCGTCGCTTCAAGAAGGGTCCTTGGGCAAACGGCACCCAGCGGCGAGCGGATCCGCCTTCCAGCAGGTCGCCCCCATCTTCACAGAAAGAGCCGCTGCTAAGATGTCGGAAGCCGCCAACGTCTTCCACTTGCTCCGTGTCAGGAGCCGGGTCCTCGGGTGGGAAACTCCAAGGTATATTCCAAGTCCAGAACCTACATGCATGAGCTCGTTTGACCCCAAGGTGAACTCGAAGGCAGATGGTTGGCCACTCCCTTCTGGCTTGAAACCCAAAGGGGCCTTCTGGATGTTCAACCCACTGGAGATGGCGAGAACTATTGTTACAAGTTGACAAGTGGGACAGCGGGAGCTGCTCAATGTACCATGCATGGCTATAGCACGCCCAGCCTGGCCCAGCACCAGATCAAATTTGGGAAGGGCCACCCGCACAACTTTTGGTTGACATTCCAAACCGTCGGCATCTTGCCAAACTGTCACCAATCGCCGCTGTCCCTCCAGAATTTGCAAAGGAACTCCCAAGACTGCACAGCAAGTTGCCACGTGCTTGGAACATGAAGCGACAGAGTGCCAACACTTGTATGGGCAAGAGTGAAAGACCAAGTTGTCAAGCCTGCACTCGTACTCCCCTGCAGCTTAACATGGAAACAACTCATTGGAATCTCTTGTCGGAGAACCATCCTTTCTGAGTTCCTTCGGTTTATTTGCAGGTTTGCAGGGCAGTATCTTACTTCCACCTTGCTCCCTCGACCAGCATCCATCTTTCCTCCGTGGCAATGGCACAAAACCAAGGCCCATTAGGCCCATCTGAGGAAACTTTGAACCTCAGCCCCCTTGCGCTGCTTGCGCTTAGATTGAACGCGACTTGTACTCAGCCAAGTGGGCTAAGACTTGTGGAAGGGTTCGGAAGCCACATCTGCTTCATCTATCCAGCATTCCACCGGGCCCTCGACAAAGCTTACTAAAAACACAACACTCTCCTGTGGCAAACCAAGGCAACTTCCAAGTCAAAGTGGTGTTACTTTGGTTTCGGCTATCACAAGCCATCCAAAGAGCTGGCCCTCTGCTTCTGCCGTCATGGGCATCCCAAACCTGAGCACTAGCTGCAAAGTTGGCTAAAAGGGGTAAAAGCGTAAGCGACGAGCCAACTCAAAGGGACAATGCCGGTCCGCTGACAAACTCACTTGAGCAGCGCCCAACCCATTGACTGTTGTCTCCTCACCGGGCTTTGAAGGTTTACATGGGTCCAGGATAGTAAGCCAGCTACTAAAATTGTCAATCGAGGTTTTGACTCGAGCGTGTCCAATTCTCCCCGTCCCCCTTCCCCGTCGTCTTGCACCAGGCTTCCTCCAAAGGCTCCGGAGCACTGGGTTCTGAACCATTCGCCGCACCTGGCGACAGCCAAAAAGCACACACCACTGGATACCAAGAACGGAAGCTCCATGGTCACGCCGGAAGGTCCCTCTCAATCAAGGAAGGTGGCCTGTCTTTGTGAAAGTAAAGTGGCAGTCGCTAGTTGGCAAAAAAGAACCAAAACTAAAGAAAGTGCTCGGACTCCTAACTCCAAGGAGTGGCTGGGTTGTTGGCCTGTGCCCGGAAAAACACTCACCGCTGCCCAGGCGCCTGTATCTTTGTCCTGGTGGGCAAACGCAAAGGCGACGCACGCTACCTGGCCGGAATGTCGAAATACCACCTGCGGCCTGCTGAGAGAGGTTTGCAGGTAGAAAACATCAACCTGAGCCGGGCGAACCAAACAAACAAGAGGGACGTCTTGTTGTGGGATGGCGTTTGAAGGAAGGCAAGTGACCAACTTTCAGCGGTCTCCTCACACAGGGCCCATCTGCACGTGCCAAAAGCCAAGTTAATATTGGAATAACCCGGCGCCGCCGTGCCCGAGGAGATTTGTTTTCCTGCACAAAGAGTATGAAATCACAAATCACACGACGTAGACATAGCCTTTACGCCTGCTCGAGCTGCCTGAACCTGCCACGGCAACGAGCATTCAGATTTCAAGTGAGGCAGCCTTTTCTGGGCAACGAGAAATCACCCAACGTTTCGACGTGGGCACTCAAACCGTCGCACGGACTCAGACGAAAAGGGACATCTTCTATGGCTGGCCAACACTGCCAGGCTAAAGCCTAAGATTGCGACACGCCCCTTGAACCTAAAACAAGTAGCGAGGCCTGCGCGTCTCACACACCCGCGCTCAGACAGGGAAATTTGCCATCGGTCCAGCCGCCATAAGCCAGCCAGTTTCACGCACCGCCAGGCAGGGAGCCGCCAGCTTGGCGCAGCTTGGCCGAGTCGAGCTGAGAGCTGGGCCGAGCCCAGCCCATTCCACCTCGTTGGCCGGCCCCCACGCTCGAGCTGAAGTGCCCGGCAATTTCCGTGCGCAGCCCACCAGGCTGCCTAGCCCAGTTAGGGGGTTTCATTTGCTCAAGCCTGCATTGCTATTGTGGTTCTTTTGAGCCTGGCCGGCGACTACGACAAAACCAAAACTTTGATTTTTCCGTATAAGCATCACCCTCCAAAAGGAAGGCCGCTGTAAATGGAACCAACCAAAACATCTAAAACTACCGAAACAGAAGAAACTACCGGGGACCCCGGTCTATCAAGTGCAACACGCAGGATGGGTGTCCAATAAATTGCACACATTGGCTGGCAGACTGTGGATTCAAAGCCAAGTCCCAGTTGCCCAGTCAGGAGCAAGAATCCCCCCTTTTGGTTGGTTGATTCCACGTGGAGAAAGGACCCTACCGGTGACGGGACTTTCAGGTGGCCACGGAAGCCCCCGAAAACCGCCTCCTCGCCAGAGGACGCCTTGACCTGCAGCGCGCCGCCCCACTGGCCGGTGACATTCTGGTGTAGAGGCCTCTCGAAACGGACTCGGAGCCTCGTGTCTAGCCAAGAATTTCACGCGATCAAGCACCCACACCCGCACCTGCACGCATGCACACATAATCCCACCACCAAAGGAATCCTGAAATTCAAAGGATAATACGGTATACGGCCAAACAGCAAATCCCGCAAACTAAAAGTGTTCTGCACTACTGGGGCCCTCTGTTGTACAAAAAATTGCAAAGACAAATGCTGGACGGAGCAAGTCAACCCTGAACACTGAAACATGAGGCCCGGCCTTCTGACTCTGGCCATCACACGGGCTGGCAGTGGACAGTCTGAGGCTGCATATGGACTGTCACCTCGGGCACTTGCTGAAAGGTTTCAATTGACAAAACGTGGACCCCAACTCCAATCATTCTTTCCGTACCCAAAAAAGGCAACAGTATCAGGACTGGTCGCTTTGTTTGGGATACGGCCCCTCCATCCAGGTGGGTGATACTGAAGTGCGTAGAGCGAGGGCAAGCCCTGGGTTTGAGTCTATCTTGGGATAACCAAAACACAGAACCCTGGACCATCCACCATCCACCTGGGCTGTTCAAGATTCCGAGGGCGGCGCATTCTCCCTCTGCTTGGCACGTGGATGCATTGTAGCGAGACCTGAGGGCCGGTTGCAAAGCCTTGAGATCCAACACTTGCAGCCAAGGTCCAAAACCTCAGCTTTGGTTCAGAACCCAACATGGTTTTGTGCAGCTTGACACATGGCTTGCTAGAAACCCTATGAACACCAGGCATGGCCTTCTGCATGGCAGAAAACCGAAGGTGCGCTCACTTGCTTCGCTCCAGAGGCCTCCAGTGGCAGATCAAACAGACGGCCTTCATGTTCTGTCCGTGTGAGGGAAAAACACCAGGTCCCTGCCACGTGAAGCCTGGAGCAGGTACTCCTGTTCTACACCACCCAACACTGTACACAAATACAAACATGATTTGGCTGTGGGTCAAAATGAAACAACCAGGGGACCGCGGATTTTAGTCCATATGTCCATTTACCAGGGTTGAATTGTGGGTACCTATTTGTGGGTACCTATTTTTGACCCACTCCCATTTGTTTAATAGGATTACATCAGAGTACTGCATGGGATGGTGGGCTCCGGAGAGTTCACTCTGTGAGTCCAAAGGCTGAGGCACTGGCAAGGAGTGTCTTTGACACTGCGAATCCCTCACAAAGTCGCAGCACACGTCATACCCGCCGCTGCGTTCCTGATGGGGAGATACGGCCTTTGTGGATCCACCCCTGATAGGATATGACAGCAGGGGTCACTGGATTTTCACTTTCACAACTTGTCGAGTTGGCGGTGGTTTCCGTTGATACTGCCACTTTTGGAGGTTTCAATGAGGGAAATGGAGGAAACCCTGGAAAAAAAGAGCACTCAAAGGAGCATACCGGGCAAGGGGGGGGCCTTGAGTAGTAGGAAATGACACAACTCATCTAAGCTGCTTGGGGAGCATTGAGCGCTCCGCTGCATGTTGGCTGCAAGATCTATGACATCGGTGCACCAAGCGGCGAAATCTACATCGCACCTGCCAGCCATGTAGGGAAGCACGGTGTGTTGCACTGGCTGCGCCCACCAACAGCAACAACTCAAACCTAGCTTTTTCGACAAGCACTAGCAGCAGCTTGAGGAATGTGGATTGAGAAACGCTCAGGGTTTTGGCCCCTTATGGTCCTAACTGGCCCTTGTCATGCCTTCATTTTGCAAGATACATGTCAAGCGTGGTTGCTTTGATGGCAGTCATTGATAGCTAGGCGGCAACTTCCTACTAACTCAACGACAGTGAACCTTCTGCACTTAGCCACCAAAGTTCGCTCCTCAGCAAACTGTCAATAGCTGGGTACGTGTTGACAAATATGGAATGGCGAAACGTGCCCAAGAACATGTTGGTAGTTCTCATCGTCGCTTGGAATCTGTGTCCAGTACCTAGATTTGGAGCTTTCAAAAACCTCGGTGATTTAAGACGCACCAGGGTCAAGCTACTCCTTCGGAGAAAGCGCAATCCATTTGCACTGAACCAACGAAAACCCGAAGATAGGGTGCGCTTGTGTACCCAGTCAAGCGGTTCTGCGCCAAGCTGCGTCGCCGCGGTAGTGGACGGTGCTGCCATTCTTCAAGCCAAAAGCGAAGGTCCAGCTTCCTACACTTGCCTAAAAACGCCTGTGAATGCCAAAAAACCCGTCTGGTTTCTTGCGCCCTGAAAAAACGGCCCTGTGTTTGAAGCAGCCTTTATGCACACTTGTATAATTGGGGGTTCAGTTAAAGTTGGATTGCGATAAATCAACCGGTAGGATATACAGACATATGTTTTGCCCCAAAATTGTTCCCTTGTCTGAAGTGGGGAATACAAAAAGTGTCTCTTCGATGGACAAAAATCCGGCTGCCCGTCCAAGAGTGGGGGGGAACAACATGATGCCCAGTCTTGGCAATACCAGAACAATACTAAACCAATAATCAAGTTCATGAATACCATCCCAATACTAACTAACACTCAACCCATACTAAACTACATACCTAGCAAACCAATACGTCTGCTTAAATCCTAAGCCAGACGCCACCAGAGGCCTTCAACTGCCAAATCGACAGCTTCCCAAAGAAATGTGTAAGATAAAACCTGTTTCTTGGAACAATAACTAAACATAGGTGTCCTAATTCCATTGTGTCCTTCTAAAATTATAGTTGACTTCTAATTGAAGATGAAGTTTACTGCCATTTAAAAGGACTTCCCATGTGGTTTCTAGTTAAAACTCATAATTGAAATATGTCCTTACTAACTGATGTTTAAACGTTACTTGACTTGTCTAAGAAAATATATTGGAAAACAATTGCTTACTTTGAATAGGATAATCCTGATATAGACGAATCGCGTTGTTACCCAGTCCCCAGCACTACCACGGTCAGAAAACAATGTACCATGTCGTGTTTTGTAGCGTGTTTCGTACTAAATTCAACGGCCACTCTCTTACTAACGCAGCATGTGACATAACAGTCTCAAGGGGGTGAGTGGTATAGGAAGCCTCAAGCAGGGAACGATGATGCACATACTACATACTGCAGTTTTGAGAGCAGGAAGAAAACGAGAACAGCACTCTCTCGGACAGTACAAGGAATACCAATACCAAACTAATAGTAACCAATACTAAGCCAAAACTACACATGCTATACACATGCTAAGCAATTTGCAAGCCAGCAAAACCCACCGAGGCCCCAAATAGCCAAATTATTTTACCAAGAAAGGAACAACAGAAAACGCACATCTGTGGGCCAGCACAAGGGAATGCTAAACCAGTACTAAACCAATTCTAAACAGTACTGGACCAGCTCAAAGCAGAATTAAACCAAAACTACAATGTAAACTACTGAGCCAGTACACAGGAATACTAATCACACAATCCTAGGCCAGCTCCAAAGCATACCAAACCAATTCCAAGCCATTTCTAAACAGTACTAGCGGGAAACTACATGAGCAGACCCAGCTACGAACCCCGAGTTTGCTTTCAGGTTCTTTTCTGTTGACACCCCCCCGATTTGTTTGAGAGGGGTGTTCGGGGGTGGGGGCTTTGCTAATCGCTACTCAATATTAAGGGGTCTGCTGAGAAGCAACGTTGTTCCTTTCAGTCATGAATGGGCGTGAACATTAGCAGCCCTTTTCGGCATTGGCATCTGCGGCGGCACCAGGGTCCGAACAAAGCCCATGTTCCCGTCCTCCGTCCAGGAGCAGTCCGCCGTGGTCGAAGTCGAGCTCCACCTTTCCAAGCATCCAAACGGGCGTGTCGGGGTTGCTGCCAAACTAGTGCGATTTAGGTGAAAGCAATCAGCGCGCAGTCGACGCAGGGGCACGCGACATAACAGGGTCGATGTCGTCAATTTTTACCTACGTGTACCGCCTACTGCTACTGCTACGCTGGTGCTGCTGCTGCTCCGCCACCGCCACCGCCATGGCCACTACCACTACCGCTACCACTATAACTACCAACACCACTGCTGCTGCTGCTACCACTACTGCTACTACTACTACTGCCACTGCTACTGCTACTACTACTTCTACTGCTACTGCTACTGCTACTGCTACTGCTACTGCTACTGCTACTGCTACTGCTACTGCTACTGCTACTGCTACTGCCACTGCTGCTACTGCTACTGCTACTGCTACTGCTACTGCTACTGCTAATGCTGCTACTGCTACTGCTACTGCTACTGCTACTGCTACTGCTACTGCTGCTCCTACTCCTACTACTACTACTACTACTACTACTACTACTACTACTACTAGCTACTAGCTACTAGCTACTAGCTACTACTAAGACTAATGCTAATACTAACAACGATCACTAATACTACTTGCTAAGACCACGGCCATAAACGCTACTACTACGGCAATAGATGCGAACCCCAAACAGCGTGGGTACACTGTGGAAACACGTAAAACAAGAAACCTCACAAACTGCATGGGCACACCACATAACAGGGTACATCAATGTTAAACAATGGCTTTGAATGCAAATCGGCATGGGCTCATGCTTCCGAGTCGACTTTATACAAGCTGGTTCGACTTGAACCCCTATTAAGTAAATCTGGTACTGTAAGAGCCATTTGCAGGTATGGGTTTTGAAGATATGGAGGCCAACAATATATACCACCTGTCAAGCCTGCCATAAGGCAGTATATGCCCCCTTATACAAGACCCCCATGATATTGAAGGTGCCTCTGAATTGTTCTTTGCTTAGGGGAAGCCAAAGGGTGTACTAAAGGGGTCTATCCAAACCCATGACAAATCAAAAGGGAAAATGGTTGCATTTATTTGTGGCAAGAGGGGACAACTGCACTTACTCCATCGCCCGAAAGCCATGGACTATTGTTTCTGGTAAAATTTATGTAGGCCTGTCCAGAACCCTTTTTCAGGCAGGTGGAACCTAAGTACTACACTGGCTCATGGGGTTGCGCCGAAACTCATCGAAACCTCGCCTGAAGGTAGGGCCAGCCCTCCCGCAGTTGGACCTCCACGCGGGTGGACTCGAGCGAGCTGAAAGGCTGCAGCTGGCCCTCGAACATGGCCCCTCAGCGTGGCACAACTTGCTCAGCACATTCAGGCTTGGGCCATTGCTTAAACATGTCTAGGACCTCCAGTAGAATCAGTAGAGAGGTTAGAATAAGGGTACCCTTTTCTCTGTAGTCTATTTTAGTAGGGGAACCCTCGACCGAAAAAGGGTAAAAGGGCACTACTGGGGGACCTAGATGTATAAAACCGCTATTGTTTAAACGTAGTCCTGGACTTGGCTTTGTGTTTGCAGACCCGACATGCAGAAACACACCATGCATAGCTGACTAATATGAGGGGCAAAATCATGAAACATGGCGGTTTGGGGCACCATAAAGCTGGACATGGGTGTGTCTTTCTTCAACGGACCCCCAAATTGTGGTCCTTTTGGTTCTCCTTTCAAACCACGGAAAAAGGACAAAATCCTGCCCCATTTTGATACCATGATGGGAAATTATCATTTGCTGGCATTTACCGGGGGAATGATCATTCCAGGGCCTCCGAGGTGGCGCAGGATTTTGACCCTCCACAGTACATGGCTTGCTGTCTTAGTCGCTGAAGATCTGGAACTTCAAGGGCTCCCGGACCAGCGAGTCCCGCAAGGAGGTCAGGTCTGCTGTCAACGCCTCGCCTCGCGAAGGGCTTTTCTTGTCGGCGAAAGCGAGGCCAAATAAAAAAGGGACTGGCATCTGCCAACAAAAACGCAGACAAAAACTCGCGACAGCTCGCACTCACACACCGAGAACATGAGGTCTGTCAAAAAAAACATACCTGGAAAAAACAACTTGACAAGGTGCACAAAGAACAACTTGCTTCGAACACAGTCCAACAGACCCAAAGTTGACCCGTGCCGTGCACGTTGAATGGATTCGTGCCGTTTCGCCAACAGTTGAAGGGTAGTTCTAACAGCTCCTAATGCTCACGAAATTCTGACAGGGTGCTTGACATTTTACACACCTCCATTTGGAGCGAGACCTTTCACATCCGGCTGCAGCCGTGCCGCTACCGCCCTTGTCGGGATGAAACTCCTTGGCCATGGTGCGGTAGGCACGCCGCAAGCCATGCTCAGACTTCTCCTCGGGATAACACGTGAGTCGAGTTGAAATGGGTGTGGGTCAAAAATAGGTACCCATTTGGGGAACCCTGGTAAATGGAAACAAGAAGTAAAATCTGCGGTCCCCTGCTGGTTTAATTTTGACCCACACCCAAATGAGTTGATGGATTTGTAGGCCTTTACTGCCCCAGTGTGCTCTCGTTCACTCGACTTAAACCAACCCATTCAAAAATTGACAGCTGATGACTCTCCTTTATAGACTCCTATTTGGACGTGTCGTTACATCGATTGGTTCACACAACACCCCGACTTTAAGTGCACCCGTCGTTTCTCAGTCTTTCAGCACGCGCTAAACGCGACGTCTTGCGCCGTCCATGCTACAGCCCCACAATTCATGCACATGGCTGTCTCCATCATTCCATGAAGAGGCCATGAGAGCACCAGCGACTGCTTGAAACGTCGGCTCGACGACGTTTCACGCGAGCTAAAGCCAGGGGACACCCAAGCAGTCCAGGACGCCCTCCCGCAGTGCATGGGCCACTGCAAGCACCAGCCATCCGCGGAAGGGTCCCATGCCCGGTGGTCAACGCAGCAGCACATATAGATGCCAAGTTGTTGGGTCATGTCAGGGAGGTCACCAAAGCAAGATGTACGTGGATGTCTTCCCTGAAGAGAAGGTGTTCTCCACTGGCTGTGGGGTTCTGGCACCTGAAACAAGCACACTTGAGTTGTCCTGCTTTTGGCGCTAGTAGCAGAGCCAAGTAGTTGCTGGCAAGGATCTCAGAACGCTACAGCTACGCTGAGAGGGCGTGATGTGATTGATGAACTCTGACGGCCTCTGTATGGCTCTCAGCGGATTTATGAAGCCAATGGCTGTAGCAAATGGCAGGTAGCAGAAACTTGTGGGAGGACCAAACCACGCACTGACTGGCACATCCATTAGTTCTGAACAATGGAAGACAAACAGAAATCACAAGCAGTGGAACGTCTCTTGGATTCCTGGTTTTGTGTGGGCCTGGCAACCAAACACATAAAATCATCAAGCAGCACTCCATACAACACAAACACAATTCAAACACCAGAACACCCCTGTATATGCTGCTGTTTGTGCATTCCTCTTGTTCCGCCCAAATTCAAGCAGTCAGACACCACGATCCCTCGAAGCGCTTCATGGCTTCACTTCCGAAGCGGCCGAAGCGACCGAACAACGCAAGCCTCCAGCAGGCGATGGGACCAGTCATAGAGCCCGCATCCAGGCAAAGCAACTGGGACTACGACCTGCCGAGCAACTGGGATGGCGCAAAAACCCATTGACCATAGGTTCTTGGCTCCGATGGTTGCAAGGGTTTTCTCAGTTACCAAAGATAAATAACACATTGAGCTGTTGCAGCCTGTTTTGCGGCCATGACTCCTTCGGGCAGGTGAATTTATATTGGACTTCCGATGGCCAACGAAACCAGGAATGGCGGATTCTGCCTATAGAAGCTTTCTGTACAGCTCACTCGGAATTTCCATCCGAAACGTCTCTGCCTTCTCTGTGCTAAAACTTCGAACCAGTTGAAACATGGATGAGACAACTAATTGCTTTCCAAAAAGAGCATGTATGCCTGTGTGCTGACACTGTTCAACTGCAAATCAGGAGGAGAGAAACAACTGGTGCTCCAAATATGTCCCTGTCTTGTCCCAAACAGTGCTTTGCCCACGCGTGGCTGCTTCCAGTTTTACCAAACATGTCAAGGTGACGGTCACCAATATCATTGATGATGTGTTGCTTGGCTTTAAATTTACAAATTCACACTTACTCGGATTTGTCGAAATGCTGACCAATATGATGTAGTCTTGCCAATTAAGTCATGCGTTAACAGGACAAGTTGTGCCATTTGTTCAAACACAATTTATGGTCACAGTTTGCAACCAGCACGAGCCTCACACTGCGTTCAGTGGACCTGTTCAGCGCCGAAAAAGTCGGGTTCCGCAAACGTTCGAAGTAAATCATCTGACTTTGCGGGCTCGTTTATCAATATAGATCCATTTGCTTAAGCCCACTAGACAAAGAAACATATTTCCAGTAGTGATACATTCCCTTTAAAACCAAAAGGGGAACATCAAACATATTCTTTAGTAAATGGAAGCATAGCAAGCTACTGTGTCCAACGATGCTTGAATGATGAGACTTTGGCAAACCCCATCTGAGATTGCTTTCACCAC